CGATACGAATGATTGATCTTAAAGTTAGTGTCTATTCCAAAAAAAGAAAGAAAGTTTATGTAAAGGATAATTAACCTACGACTCCAATCAGTGTTTGATTGTTATATATCAATTTGTATAGGATCTGTCGTTTTTCTTTTGTCAACGTATGGGATCCATTGTTAAGGACAGATATATATATGGCTAGCTATATTATATATCTTGCCTCTTTTTTGTCAACATCATTAGCTCCCCTTTGTCATTTATAATTTATCTTCTAATTAACACAATCAGATTCATATATAATATCATCTCCCTCCATGGGAATCCCTGCCGATTGGGATTCGCGACTAAATCAATATCATAAACACGATAAAAGACAAAGTAAAGAGTCTCTTCAGATTGTTTGTTAGCCAAGTTGATCACAATTCGTAACATATGATTTGGATCCTTGGACCCTCGCAATGACTTTGAGACACAGGGTAAACTATATTACCGATAAAGACATGTATTTATATATACTGTTGCCTGGTGGGTGAGTGCTAGTTAATGGATAATTAAAACTAGTAATTACAAATTTTAGTGGTTGGCAACACACTATGGGATCTGCTCTTAAAATTTCAATGTTTTCGAATCATTATATTTTATAGTGTTTAATTAGGAACAAATTGTTATAATTTTCTTAGAGTAGGAGATGCGGGGACAATATGACAAGAACGTTCACGAAACACACGATTTGACATCTTTTTATAATTGGAAAAAAAAAACTATACCAAAATTTAGAGTAATTCTTAATCTAAAGAATGCAAGCTTGTTTTATCTTTACATTGTATGTAATGGCCTAAAAGATGTCAAGAGTGATATGAAAGAAGAAAATTTAACAAAAGAGATGGTTTATCTTCTATATATTAATTGAAATACCACGATAAAAACCTCTATACATTTTAATTTTTGAACATGGATTCACAAATACATGTTACAAATTTAAATCCAACTAAAATGTAACATTTTCATATTTAAAAATGTAATATAACATAATTTTTTAACGATAAATCATCTACCATTATCAATTAGTTTATAAAAATTGTATTAATGTTCATTTGGATACCATATTTGAAAATATAAATTTATTCTACAATTGTTTTATTTAATATAACTTAACTGTATCCATATTATTTTAACTGGAGTTGAGTTTTTTTTTTGTTATAAACGTACAACTTTACAATAAAATATTTTACAATTTTTGTGCAAACATGATAGGTTTACTGATATTGGTGAAATTCAAACAGTTTATAAAAAAAAACTGAAAACAAAAATAAATGTTTGAATGTCAAAAAATCATCAGTTTCAC